CGCGCTCACACACTAGGACAATTTCCACCCGTCCCACGGCTGCGAAAAATGACGTCACTTGACGGGGGAAGAGAGACGTAAACAGGCTAACATTGCCACATTTGCATTCTACTGGCAGCCTTGAGCGAGTGGTTCTGTTCCTAGTGTGCGTGGAGCTATAGGACGTACTCAATCAAGCCACTGATACTCTTAGTAGTAAACAGAGATACAGGTACCCTTGAATTATAACAAAACCACTGGGTGACAATTGTTGATACCCCTGTTAGAAAACAAAAGTAGGGGTAGGTTTAATCTTTTTTTTAAACTGCTGGGTGGTTGGAGGGTGCTGCTGGTAGGTCCTACTTTTTGTTTTCTTTACTACTGTTGTCCCTATCTATCTGTCTTGCTTCATCCCTGTAGTGTATGATCGCTATTGTGTGGATGTGCTTTACTCAGTCTCAATGTCAGTGTGATGTTGAACGCCTCCAATCAATCATTTACAATCAGTCTATCATTCACAGTATATCAATCCCTTTGGTTTTTTCGTTATTGCAATCTCTGTCGCTGGGGAAGACATATTATTTCTGACAAGGCTAAAGGAGTGTCACTGTGGCCACTATTCTTCTAGAACCTATGCTCTACCCACCATCTTCACCCCCACTCAGGCGTTGTTGTATTTTTTAAAATCTATTTTGCAAATGTTTACTTTCAAATAAGCTTCGAATTCGTGACGTTTATTAAAATTTGTTAGTTAAAGAGAGCTCTATATACAGATTTCCATTAATGTGGATCTTTAGTTATTGATTAAAAAAAAAAAACATCTCTTCGCGAGCTATCGACCCTTCATCGATTAAGCAAATCATCTGAAGTGCTATTAAAGACGAAAGGGTTTGAATTAGACAGAGATGGAGAGACAAAGAGAGACAGAGAGAGAGAAAGAGACAGAGAGAGAGAAAGAGACAGAGAGAGACAGGGAGAGAGAGAGAGAGAGAGGGAGAGAGAGAGAAAGAGAGAAAGAGATTGAGCATATAAGAATGAAAGGGTAAGAGATGATACGATCATGTTCTGTTTCTGCCTATTACTTAGTATTAGAACCCCCCCC